TCGTTTTTTTTATACCATATAACTTGATGTCATCCATGTAGCGATGCCTCTGCTCTTGAAATTTTATCCATATACTTCTCATTATCTGATTGAAGGAGTTAGACCCTATGAGTTAAGATCTAAGAACAGTAAGAGAGATGACGCGTACCTTGATATATGCCTCACTTGATAGTCACTTGTACAAGCTGTTCTGAGTTGACTTTAAATGTCATTTTTCAGAATCCCGTTGAATTCTCAGTGAAAGTCTTTAGAATCTTGTTGACTTTGTGCAAAGCCTACATTTACAGAATCTATGTGGGGCATTGAGTCATAGGCTTTTTTATTTCTTTTTTATAGTCGATCCAACTATGCACAGATTTGTCTGGTTTTGAGCCTTGAGCGACTGCTTTATCTATGAGGAGTTGGTTTTGGAACTTCTGTTGTTGTTTCCAATGCATTTTTAACTTTATTCTTGTACTGGCTCATATTGGCATAAAGTTTGATGGCTATGATGCCTGAAGGTTATTGTGAGTAGGCAGGTTGATCGATTATTGGTCGATAGTTGGGCGGTAATCTCTTATGAGATTCTTTTATGATAGTATCGTCCTTATGTTAATCTGGTTCTATATCGTTAGACACGCATGAATCGCAATGACAGCTTCTTTAATCAGTAGGTGTGAATCATGTCTGGACTAGGTGCTGTTCAATTTTTCATGTTTTTGGATCACTTTTGGATATCAGCAACTGTAATGGTGATTGGTTCCTGACCTGGGAGATTGGTGTTCTCAGATCTTGCAGGCACTTTGCATTGGTGTTATGAATCTTCTTTTTCTCTTACGTATTCTTCCAGTATGTATAGTTTCTGCTGTTGGTGGTTCTGTTGCTGTCATGTTATTGCATGGGGCTTTTGAGGGAGTATAGGCGTTGTATTTTCCCTATTATCTGCATCCTATTCTCAATCTTCATACGTTTCTGTAATTCTGTCAGCTGACAAGCTTCTTTGATCGTTGTTCTGATTTTATTTTCCAGTCTTTTCCAACATTATGGCGACATATATTTTCTTTTTCTCTTGATATTATGTTTCAGCATTTCCAGAATATACGCTGTGGCGTACATCAATTTATTAGTTAAAGTGGCAGTGGGAAATATGCAAAAATTCTATTTGCATCTTCAAGTATTAACTGATGGTACTTCATTGAGCCTCAACTGTCGGTCTCGATGCTTAATTAAGGCCATTTCATGATTTTTGCCTAATAGCAGCTGTGCCTAGATGTGGGAATAGAATTTCCAGGTTCCTAATAATAGGTCCGGTTATATTGCTTGTATAATCCAATACACCCAGTCACCATCATATTCTCCAGTCTCCTTTTCTCCAGTCTCCGCTTGCATTTGTTATCACACCAGCGAGAAAAAGCTGTCGAATTCAAATGCATTAAGATTAAATTAAAAATGAAAGGTTTTAGCAGAATGAAATATAAAAAAGGTTTGAGGAAAGTGGAGCAGAGTTTTCAGGCAATGGGCTATAATGGGGCCAGATGCTATAATTAAATATCGCACGAGTTCTTGAGGAGCGTGATAAGGTATTATATGGGGTCTGTGAAGGTTCAGTTAGAGTAAAAAAATAGAGTAAAAAATGAGATTATGGATGGATTGCGTAAGAGTTTGCCTATCAAGCATAGGCTTATTGTCTAAGTATATGATGAATTAGCGAACATGCGGTCATATGAGATTTTATCGGCATTGCAGGCATGTAGAATATTTCTTGAGCTCGAACGGTCAAAGATAATTTCATCTGTTTCAGCCTTGTTAACTCTTATTTCGAAGCAATATAAGCAGTAGGATTTTACTGTTGGACTTACACTGCTTGGACTTGTCTTCCACTAATTCCCATCATATATAGCTTCTAGTACCACTTCACGTCATCTTTTTTGACATTGTTTCTTTGCTAATTTATAAGTTCTTAGCCAATGGATTCACGGCCGCTCAATATCTTTTTTTTTTAAATTTTCGATAAATATAAATGTAACTGGATATGAAGTGGATATTTTTCATACAAGTTTGTATTAATAAATTTTTTAAATTTTTTAATTAAAAGTGTTAAGGAAATGTTAGACTGTCGAATTTAGCACTGTTGAATTTCTTCATGAAAAAAGATAAAAGAAACATATAAAATAAAAAGAAAAAAGCTGAAATGTTTTAAGACATTGAAAAAATTAACCTCCGGTTGGAATAAAAAACTAAAAAAACCGATCAATCATCGATTTCTTATAGATAATAATGATAAAGTTTATGATCCAATGAAATTGAATTAAATGAGGATTTAAAGTGAGACGATTCGGAATCTATAGTTCTCCTTAAATTCGTTATTTTACAAATTCTGTACATTTAACTTCATTTATTCAGACAAAATAACCCAAGGCAATGAACCATGATTAGTTTCCCGACAAATAAATAAGAATTTTAGAATCAAATACATAAAATGTAATATAATAAATTAAAAGATATGAGACAAGGAAGACACAATATATATTACAATTAAATTGACTTCATTAAATATCAGTAATCACTCGGCTATGTGTCGAAGACAAACCAGTCTTTATTATAGGGATATATGTCGTTGATCCTGATCCGGATCTATTGCTGAAATAAATCTCATTAAAATGGTAATAACTGGGGAGGATAATCGAGTGGTTGTTGCTGAAGTTATCGCGTCCATTATCAACAGTATCAACTCGTGCCTCCCCGTACGAGTAAGCAAGTCTCATTAAAACAATGAAAAAGTAATACCAATAATTTTCATAGTAAACTTATAAAGTTAAATCAACAAAGAAACATATCAAAATTAATGTAGTATATAACAATATTACTATCACATTATTTAATAAAAATTCAAATCGAAATAAATCCAATATCTACTTTATGCTTAATTAGCTTATAAAGCGACATACCTATTAACTGAGTGACAACTTGTTTGAGACAGCCGGTAACCGCTTGTCATTTTCGGGATCTTGCTATGTGATATGATTTTCTGAAAACGCTCATTTAGTATCATTTTACCAATAAAAAATTTATGGGCATTTAAGAAAAATAAATTTACTTAAATGAAATGAAAACAAAAACATTTTTTTTTCGAAGGTCGACATTTATATCTCATTAATTTCATAACGAAATAAATAAATATATTTTGACTAGTCAAGCCGTCAATAGTTTTATTTCTTGAGAGAAACCAAAAAAAGGTCAATTCAAGTTTACCCATTCTAGTATCCTAACGCCAGTAAAGCAAACCAGAAATGGCGAAAGTTGGAACAAGTTCTATGTCACTAATGGAAAAGGAGATTTTAATATATGAAATGATCTGAAAAATAAATAAAAACACATGAAAAACTAAAAAAGAGGAGCATTAAGAGGTAAAATAAGGAAAAATGACTTGTTTCTTACAAATGTTGTTAATAAAATAAGTTATTATAAGGAAAAAAATCATACTGAAATGTAGTACAAGGTAGACAAGCGTGAGAATGAAATTTGTTAGAAAACAGAAGCGCGAGTTCGAATTTACAATGAGGAATGACGAGCAAAGAAGGAAAAAAGAAAAGGGGGAAGAATGCAAACTTTACAAGAAGTCTGCCTTCGGGCCTAGTTCGATGAAAAATTTAAGAATCAAATAGATATAAAACCTCAAATGTTTGTTTCTCGTTTTCGAGATGGGAAAGTGATGAGTTATTAGGTTTTGGCAACTTTGACTTCGAAATACTCATACTCTCCGAAATCGTAGAAGCAACATCTGCTGTTTTCTCTGGATTAACATTCTGTAGAGCACATATCAAATGAGGGATGCGACTGGCAGAAATCCGCTGTTGTTGCCGGTTGTTACTGGCTACTTCATGTTCAATATCAATAGTTGCTGCTTGAAGATATTTGATTTCAGCATCGAAGTCAGACATGTTTTCTTTTACAGATTCTTGTTTTAACTGTGAAAGGGTTTCAGTAGCAACTGAATCAGCTATATCAAGTGGCTTGGAGCTAGGTACTACTCCATCAACCATAGTAAATGCTTTGCTTACTTCACATTCATGAGTAAAAGAAAGTGGTGGTGCCGATGAAACGATAACAGAAGGTGCTGCGAGTTGTGCTGTATCGCTAATCGTACACAGCTAAAATATCGCTTAATAATAAGAAAAAATTATAAGCATTAGTAAAGCATGCAATTAAGCTATTATCAAATTTTTTTCATAAAAAAATTAATTTCACTAGTCGTTTCGGATGATTTCAAAATATTTCTTGTAAATAAAAACCTCAATAAATTTTTCAGAAACTAACGATTTGATTTGCTGAATCAGCACTAAAAGTAGTACTCATAGGTGACTGCGGTAATGCATTAACATGAGTTGTCTCATCGTTAGTTATGGAAATTGTTGTAATATGATTAACAGGTGGAACTGACCATTTACCTAGAAGCAATACATTAATATGTGAACAGAGAATATAATTGTATCCGCATAACTAGACAATGCATTATTATGCATTATTACACCATATTATAAGCCAGAAGTAAAAACTGTACCCTTTGAATAATTACGACCTTACAATCGTTACGAGTGCTATTCGAAATTGAAAATGAAGAATGATTTTGGGACTCTAAAAATTTTAATATTGCTATTTTAAAATATAGTCCAAAAATAAAAAACTTAGTACAAAGTCCTATGAAAAAATTGAAGATCAACCTTTTTCATCTGAAATTTGCTTTTTGAATGCGACAGGGGATTTCTCCAGTCGTTCACACGTGAAAATATTGTTACCCATATCGTAATTCTTCAAAAGCGAATTATCTAGCCGCATTCCATCTGTTTTTGTCTATACAATAAAACTTATAATAAACATTTTAAAAATATCTATAAGATGATTTTTTTTAAAAAATCCTCATCACTGGTTAAACTCGCTCCACAGGTTTCTCACATTGAGCGATATGCCATGGAGTCCCTTGGCGATAGAAATACATATAAAAATTACAATATGAAAAAAATTTACACCTTATTCGAAATCTGCTCCTTCAGCAAATTTACTAAGGATCCATTTGAATCCCTTTCGAGAACTGTTAAATTATTAGTTGATTCAGAAGGTTGCCATTTCCCCAAATTCATCGAGCTTAATATTTGTTAATCTTTTTTTTTAAAAAAAGACAATATAATCTTTCTTTTTTCACAACTTATCATTTTCGATTCGTCAAGAAACCGCCTGAGGGCAATAATACAGGTGGATTCCCAACTTTTCAAAGATTTTACTTTAGTCTGTCAGGAAAGAGGAGATCATGATTATATTCCGACAAATATTACTACTATCTTCATACCGATCCCAGAAAACCATGTTCCTAGAAATTTCAAAATGGAAAACGGCTTACTCGGAATTTAACGGTGAAGTGCTTTTAGCAGAAGATGCATTTGGCAAAACTCCAACTCCAACTGTAGTAGAAATCTGCAATCATTCCTCAATATTTTATAGGTTTAGGATAATCGAATTTAAATGAATTTCTGATTTAAACCATTTCTGCTTAAGGTGAAAAGAAAATTTTTTTAACAAGGGTGGTATTATTCTTACCTGTTGTTTGATCTCATCACGAAGTTGTATGCGACGATTGATAAGTGATTGCCTCGGGCCATAACGCTGTGATGGTCGGCGTTCAAAGGTGCTTTGCCTTCGCGACAAACGACCACCATCTTTATGCACATTTTCATATTCAGTTCGACCACTAAAATATGTTCAGAAAAAAAGTATGAAATAACCTCTTGATAAATAAGAAACTGTTATAGTTCTCCACATCTAAGATCTTTTAATCTGCTTTGAGATTATACTGATCAGAAAAAAATATCAGGAAAAAGGGAAACTGAGAATCAAAGTTTTAAAAATGAGAGTTAAGGTAAGTTTTACGAAAAGTTCGAGGATATCTACCGATAACGAAAAGTACTTCCGAGTCGAAAAAAATGTGAAGCTTTGCGATTCTTTGAATTCTGATATCGTAATCTAAAGAATGTGTGATATTCAATGGCGCATTTCCATAAATGCTTGCATGCTTTATGCGATGACAAATTAAAGACAAAGGTGTGCAACTGTATTTGACCACTCTGAAATAATAAATTAAACAAATAAATTTAATTAAACAAATCAGTTTACATAAAATAATACCAAAAATAAAGAAATGGAATGACGAACCACTTGATCAGCATCTTCTTCAACAATCAATGTCAATTTTTTATTTTTAAAATCTAATTTTTGAATTTTCTCCCAAAGAAATAGGCCAATCTTTTGCGAACCATCGAAAACCAATGTACCAGTTGGTGTCAGTCCAAGCCTTAAAAAATATTCCTTTTAATATTAAAAAGGATAGGAAAATCGAAAAATCCTTAAATTTTTTTCTGGTTTGGTGTATAAAATTTTATATTATTTAGAAAACCCCTTGAAATTAAAAAAGAAATAAATGAAACTAACTTATATAAGTTGCCATCTTTGCCTTCTACTGTATGCATATCCACACCATAGAGTTCTATCCATCTTGCTTTGTTCAAATAATTTAATTCAGCTGTTGCTGGCGACTGTCCTCTAAGAAAACAACCAATAATCGCGAATAATTCAAAAATTAATCACAAATTATTTTTATAAAAATTAATGCTTAGAAATTTAAAAAAAGCAGTTAAGAAGGATCATTCAGTAGTTAAATCGAATAAAGGAGAATAAAGGAGAAATAAAGGAGAAAAAGAAGAGAGCTTTCTAAATTTTTTTAAAGAGCCTTCACTATTACTGGTTAGACTCGTTCTGCTGGCTTATCGCATTAGCCAGAGAGTTCCTTGGCGATAGAAGTACAATGAGTCGACAGCATCACCCGGATTTACTCCTGTGGAAGAACTTCAGCATCGGCGCCACAAATTTAGCAACAACCGACTGAGTCATTCTATGCCCCCGATCTTTCTAATAGTATTTACTATTTCTGATTTGACCGGTTCCATTGGCTATTAGGGATGATACCTTCTAGAATCAAGAGAAGTATAGGTGGGTGGCTAATGCCATTCATATTTCACTTTTAATGGCATGTTTACTACCATTATTGGAGAGGAATTGAACTTTGTCCATTCAATAACGAAATTTTAAAAAAGAACCATAATTTACCTGCATGCTATAAACTTTTCAAGAATAGCTATTTCCATTTGTTCATCTTGTTCTGGATGAAATCTAAATTCAGATACGAATGAAGGCGTATGTTCAATAGGGTTGTAATCGCCAAATTCAGCTAAAACTTGTTTAAATCAAAAAATTAAAATAATATGATTGAAGAAAATGAGAAACTTGTCATTTCATTCGCAATAGCCTAAAAAATAATTTTCAAATAACATCCATAATTTCTGGTTTGGATGGTTGCATTGTTTATTACGATGAATAAAACGATCTTTCCGCAAAGTTTGGGATCTTGTAAGATAGAAAAAATAATACATTCTGGATTTCCCTTTTGATGATTGGTTTATGTTAAATTGTTCAATAACAATTGTGGATGAATTAAATGAATTTAATTATAAAGACTTATCCACTCTCTATCCATATTTAATTATTTCCTTTTCATGCATTTGAATTCAATATTTTTTTCAATCTTGTTGGTAGTATTTCCCTTAATTCCCTTTTTCGTACAGCAAAAACTGATTAAACAATATAGTCCAATGTACCTATATATCCACCTTTCTGAAAGGTTTCTGTTTCAATAAAAGTTAAATCTAACATTGCAAAGCTAAAGCAGCTAATTCAATAGCTATATCTTTCGGGCATTCCAGCCTACCGGACTGTATGTCCTGTTTCAACTGTAAAAAGAATTGGTACCTGAAACGAATAACCCGGATTATAAAAGAATTAAACAAGAATAAAGAAAAAAGAATTAGAAAAAAATATAAAATATTATCAAGATAAAAAGTTAAAGGAAAGATTAATCAAAAAAACCAATTTTTCCAACTTTGACAATTTTTCCAATTTTTCGAAGGAAAAAAATTGTCGACTAATTAATAGGAAAAATTAGTATTGCAAAATGAAGAGAATCATGCCATTAATAAAAATATTTTCTGCACCTTGTGAGCTCTTCACGAAGATTATTCGGTTCATTAGAATAAAATTTAACACGAAATCGAAACGTATATGGAGGCCCAATCGAAAGCTGCTTATTTAATTTTTTCATCGGATCTAACCAGTGCTAAAAAAAAGAAATTTATCATGCAAATACTGCAAATACTCGGAGAAAAAGATTCCAGAGCTGTTTTTCGCTTCATTTTCAATAAAAAGTTTAGTCCTGTTAAGCAGACAGGAGACAGGACACCGAACTACAATATGATAGTCCAAATAATACACCTCTTTGCTATTGCTTTTATTGCTTTCACCTGTTTACTTTCCATCAAATAGATTAAGGATAATATAAAGTTTTTTGCAAAATTTTAATTTTATGTTGTTTAAATGCAATAAGCATAAATAAGCATAAAAGCGAATGCGGAAGTTAAAATGATAAAACAAAAACAAACTTGTACATGATAATGATCCATGAATTGTAAGCCAAAATAATCTTTTTCGTCAATATCAAGCGTGTAAAAAACCTGATCATACACTTCAGATCCTAATCCGTTTTTCTAGAACCATTAAAATTATTTGAATTTTTCTTATAAAAATGCTTATTACAGAAAATGCTTACACTACGCTTTTTAAAGAAAATAAAATGATAGAAAATATTACATTAGCAACGATATTCATATTCGTTCCATCAAGAAGTATAATCTTGCAATGGCACTGACGCTTTTGGTCAATCTCCATTGTGTCGAAACCCTATAAAATCCATGTGAAATGAATAAACAATAATAATAACCATGATAGACGCCTGTCATATAAATATAAGGTTAATTTATAATTTATATGACATCTGCAAATTATTATTGATTGAAAACTCTTCCCTGAATTCTTTCCATTATTGTATTAATTTCTATAAATAATTAATTAATAATTAAAATTCTATTCCAATTTCAATATGAAAATATGAACCAGTCGCTGTTATTGAAATCTAAAACCCAATTTTCAAAAATCCCTTAAATCCCTTAAAAAAATCTGTTAGATAAATAAGTATAAAACATTTTTTATTTTTTAAAAATCCTTAAAAATCGAAATTGAGTATTCAGCACTCATTAGAGCAGTTAGCATGAGAAAATAATTCGGACCCCTAGGAATAAACTATTTATTAAAAAATCCAGGTGGTGGTAGCGATCCATTCGTTCTTTTAATGGCAAATGACTCTCTAACAGAAATTTTTAAAAGAGCTAAAAGTTAGCGAAGTTAGCTTAAACAGATGAGTAGTTAAACACTTAATTACAAATTACTTACTTACTTAACGAAGAAATGCCTCCAGTGATCGATGAAATGTTGTTGGATAAAAGACAAAAGAAAGAAAGATGAGATAATGAAATGAAATCTTGATGTTTTTAGATATTTATTCACTTTTGTATTTAAAATCGGAGCAGTTATCTGATAAATAGAAAACTTTATGGTACCAAAGCGAGAAAGACCAAGGAATGGCTCGATTAGAAGAGATTTGTATAAACAGGCCAATGATATATAGGCTTACATCGAAGAAAAAGGAATTCAGTTATTTCCAGCATGATACCGGATGGGAAAACGCTAATCCCTAGTGATAGTGAAGCCAGCCAAAGTAACAATGGTGCGAGCCATGAAGATTTCCTAAACTATTTTCTTAAAAATCAAATTTGAAATCTTTCAAAAATGAAATTAAAAATGAAATAAGATTTCAGTTTATACTAACAAAAAATTACGCTGAATAATGGTAAAGTTATCTGGAAAAAATAAAAATAAAAATTTAAAAAAGATTATCTTATCTATTAATTTGTATAATTATTATTGATCATTAATTAATTTTTTAAACGAACAAATAAATTGAAATTGAATTATTATCAATTAAAGGGAATGAATGACTTAAAAATAGGTAAAACAAATTAAGCTAAAAGCAAATTAATTGAAAATCACCTATCACATAAAAAAAATAACTTTCTATCTTTCTTTTTTTAAGATAATTTCTTAACATATAAGGTTTTTATCAGAAAATAAGAAGTAGATTCTTTTAATAATTATTTTATAGATATTTCCTTTCGTAAATTTTTGAATTTTGAAAAAATAATAAAAATTTTAATAAAAATTTTAAGGATTCTGAATGAAAAATATTTGTGACAAATAGAGGAAAAAGATGGAAAAAAAGGATGGAAAAAGATGGTACTAGAGAACTTGAAATTAATAGCATTTTAGAAGAACCTATTATAACTTTATTCAAAATATGAATGCAGAATAATTAGATGGATAGTGACCCAGATTATTGAATTGAGAGGCAAAACTTCACCTCCAACATACACCTTTTAACAAAATTCAGAAGGCACCAGCAACCCACTTGTATTTCTATCGCCAAGTGAATCCCTGGTAAAAATTTTTAACCATACAAGCAACCAAAGTATAAAGATGATTGATGTAAGAAAAAAAGAGAACTAAAGAAACCTGTTGATATCCAGATGTTTCAGGTTGTCCGACACCAGCATTCTTTGTTACACGTCTAAATCGTCGACTTATTGAACGCAGAAAGTTTGCCATATTTATCGTCTGCAAAATGTTCCTTTTTTTTTTCATTTTTATTATCAGTTCTTTCAATAATATTACTCAATATTTGTAAAATTTGTCTCGATGATTGAAATTTTAAACGGATAGAGTGATATGAAATAAAATAAATCTTTTGTTATTACTGGTTATTATACTATTTATTTTTTATATTATTTATCATCACTATAATTATCACCATTATTCATTATTATTTATTATTATTTAATATTTATTAGTATTTATTACCACTATTATTAGTTATTTTTAGACTGTTACCATTTATTATTAATTATTAATTAAGAAATTATTTTATTAATATACATTATATGACATTAATATTTTATCTTATTAATTAATATCAGATTATTAATAAATATTTATTTAATAATATTTAATAAATTATTATCATTGTTATTTATTATAATTGAATTGTTACTTTTATTAACATTTATTTACCATCCACCTTTCATTATTTATCACTGTTTAATTAACTCTACTTTTTATTAATATTATTAATTATTACGATTATTATATATTATTATTATATTATCAGCATCACTGCCTGGCAAATTTAACACTATGAGCAAGCATAGCAAACCACTTCTACTATAGTACTATGACTCCTATTAACACTTACAAACATTTTTACAATTAGTGCCAAAGTTGTTGACCGTCTTGAAATCTTTACTATTGTTATTTTATTATATATTATTGTTATTATATTATTATATATTATTATTTTATTGATTTTTTGATAATAAGGTTATTTTTCTTACCACCAAAAATACTAAATTTTTAAGAAAAATTAATCGGAAATATATTAAATGTTCTTATAAAAAATTACTTTCACCAAGAAATGATAAAAATGATAAGAAAGTATTTAATAATGATAATAATGATGAAAATAATGATAAGAAAATATGATATTTGGAAAATTTAATTAAAAAAATATTGATTTTTGTGCTCAAATAAATTTTGCAACACTCTTCTCATAAGAGCAGAGAGACGAAATTTTTAAAATTTTTTTAATCTAACAAAAATCGAAAACCGACTGAAAAAAAACTACGAAAATATTACTGTTGAAATTTTACCTATTTTTTGAATTTATAGCCACCGCAAGAATCTTTCAAATCATTTTCGAACTTCTATAAATTAGTCGGTCAATTTCTGAACTAATTTTTAAAAAAAGTAAAAAAAATTTTGTCTTTTTTTCCTCATAATTCCGGAATAATTTTTTAATTCCAACAGACATCAGAATGTCAGTGTTAAGAAGTAAGGTAAGCGAAAACCAACCAAATCATACCCAAATATCGTCTGGACATGGCTTGCCTATCAAAAATCCTTCTTCCTAATTCTGAGTCCAGAACAGTAATTATATTTAGTTCTGCTATACCACAGTGGTAGCTCAGATAACTTCAGAAAAAATGGAATCATGAAATTCTAAATTCTTAATACTTTCCGGCTTTTTTCACAACATACCAGATTATATTTATTGGTGTGGGAGAAAGAGGAAAGAGTAAGAGACCATTTGACTGAAACAACACAGTTCTGTTCCATATTCTCTGAAGAAAGCTGATAGGACTCATTGCAACAACTATCAAGGAATTAGCTTGCCAGATGTTTCTGGGAAGGTTTTTGCCTCTCTTTGCTGAACAGAATCATGGCAGTGCATGATGGCAGAACGTACTTTAATTTAGCCGGACTAGAACATGGCTCTACTGATCAAATTTTCATGCTAAGAAGGGCATTAAAATATAGTTTCAAATATCAAATTCAAATGTCGACAGCCAGCGTTCTGTTTCAATGAATTTGCTCCTATTTTTGACAAAGCAGTGCTCTGGCAAATCATGATGGTATTTCAGAGAAGTTAATCAGACTTGTCAAAATATTTTATTGCGCAGGTTTGTATATATAAGGAATTGAAACCTTTTGAAAAATGTATGCTAAAATTGCGTTCTCTCTCCTATAATTTTCAAGAATGGATTATAAAGACCACTTGCTCAAGATGTTTAGCTTAGATCATAGGATCCTTGAATATGCTGACAATTTTGACCTTTTTGCTAATTACTAGGAACCGCAATAAAAATCGATTACAGGAGCGAAAATTGGTTCTCAACTCAATGAAAATGAGAGAGAACTCTTTCATATAAGATTGATAAGATCGCAGGATTTGTATAAAGTCATCAGTGGTCCAAGAACTATCAGACTTCAAACATCTTAGATTAGTTCTCATAACTAATGGTCAAGCGAAAGATGAAATTCCAGCTCGGATAGCTGCAGCCAGAGATATTCTTTCCTTTAGCAAAGGCTCTCTGGAATCGCCGAACCTCAAAACAAAAATTCATACTGATTGTAGTACAAAAAAGTCAATAAGAGTAGAAGAGAGGAAGGAGAGAAGTTTTCAGTCTTTCAGTCTTTGACGATTCTTGCCCAATGCATATCCTACGCATTATCCCACTGGAGAATCTCAAATGTTTGCGCCTCTCTTTGCTCGAATATCTGCATTGGTTTGGCTTTTCGTCGTTCAATCATTCACCATAAGAATTGATATTTCGCTACTTGCAATACTCTGTAATGGATGGCGCCAAAAACAGTCTGGATCTGGACAGAGAAAATACTGAACTTATAAAGCGATCCAGCGATATGCCGGTTTAGCTGGTGAAAAAATGCTTTCAATTACGTTCAGGATTGGCATCGGATCGCATGGGTTTTAAACCATCTGTTTCCTAAGGCGAATTTAGCCATATTTTAGCTTAGAAACTAATTTTAAATATATTTTATCGTTTTAAATAAAACATTTCAATAAGTAAATAAATGGGAAAAAATATAGGAAATACTGAGTAAATTTCTCAAATTATAAATTTTAAATAAAATGCCAACTTCATACGACGAATTTGTGAAAATAAGTGAACAAATGCAGAGTTGCGATGAAATAAGAATAATAAGCAAGAGAGAAATATATTTACAAACATAAAAATATAAATTCATTTTCATTTTCATTTTTCATTTTCATTGAAATTCATTTTTACCCATTTTAACAGGTTTTCGAATTATAAATATATATATATATATATATACCAATCATTTAAATAAATCCTTATTCCACGCATATATAATTTCGATAATTTAGATTTTATAAAAATTTTTGTTTGAAAAGGAAACTT